CAAAAAGTTAATTGCTAACAATTGTTGAGCCCTTGTCATGAACCATGTACTGTATTAAATGTTCGTACATAGATTATCTAATTTACTTTCACAGTAAATATAACAATGACTTCTGAAATTGGTACTATTACTATATTCATTTTACAGAAGAGGGAACTGAGGCTGAGAGACGATGAATAACTTATTTAATACATAGGCAATGAGTAGTCAAGCAAGGGTTAAAATAAAGACAATCTGATTCTAAAGAGGATAACTTTCTTTTTGAGGAAGATTAGCCCTGAGCTAACATTTGCTGCCAATCTTCCTCTTTTTTGCTGAGGAAGACTAACTACGGGTTAGGCACTGTTCGACACACTTAAGTTTCATTAGTGAACAAAATAAAAATACCTATCTTATTGGTTTACATTCTATTGGGAGAAAACAAGCATTACAGAGTAGATACATCAAGTAGGCAAATTATATAATATGTTAGAAAGTAATAAGTGCTACGATAAAAATAAAAGCAGAACAGAGTAAGATTGGGAGTACCGGTTTGGGACAAGGAGGGCAGGTTGCAATCCTAAACAGGGTAACCAGGATCAGCCTCATTGAGAAGGTTATGATATCTGAGGAGTTGAGACAGTTAGCCACATGGATATGGTGGGAAGAGTGTTCCAGGTAGAGGGAACAGCCATTGCAAAATCCTGAGAGGAGATAGCCTGCTATATTTGAAGAGAACAACATGAGGGACACTGAGAATAAAAAGTGAGATTAGAACTGTAAACTGGGACGTATGTGTGTGTAGGAGGCTTTTGATCATTGAATTAACTTTATCAATGAAAATAAGCTACATATTTTCTATTTACACTATAACTATATATTATAAGGTCAAAGAAGTGAATGTAGTTCTTTTTCAGACTTTACCTGTATTATGAATATCAGAATGAAAAGTGGTTTGAAGCTCTAATTTGTTTTGTCAATTCAATCAATTGTGCAAAAATTGCACGTGAATTGTATGTTAATGATTTGAAGCACGTGCCTGTGGTCCCTTCATCAGAGACTTTTAATTTAATCAGTAGTGATGAGGGTGGGATAGGACGGGGTTGTACCTGGGCATTGGGTTTTTTAAGTGCTCCCTGGTGATTCTAATATTCAGCCATGGTTGAGAAGCATGTGGAAAAGAGAAGGCTTTTTCATTCCTGCTCCCAAGCAGTCTGCTTTGTATGCTCATCATCCTTGCTGCTGCAGCTCACTTCAGTGTCATCACTACCTGGAAGTCCAAAACCACGCATCCCCTCCACAGAAATCCTGGAACCTCTCCAGGCCACCCCATTGGAGGGGAAAGGTAGGACAAGCCAATTTCTCCTTTGCTGCCCCATTCATGAGTTCCCCATAACACCAACAAACAAGAATGGATGTGGGTGTCAGATGACTGAAAACTTTGTGTTAGAAAATGACAAAGTAAGAGGAAGGGTAAGAGAAGAGGGGAACAACATGGTTAGCATCAATTGCCTAATAAATTTTTAAGAACAAGGCTGTCTAATACTGAATTTCAAATTTTGGCATTGTTTCAGTAGAAAATATCTTGTCTCTCCAAATCTTCTGTTTCACTTATGTGTGCATGGTACATTTCTGGCAAACAACAAATATTTCTTATATGAATGAATGAATTCAAATGGGATGAACACAAAAAGCAACAAGCCCATCCTTTCCTCCCATCTTGTTCCCCAGAGGCAATCACATTTACCTCATTGCTATTCTCCTATCTCTAAATAATACACTTATGCTGTTAATTCTGGATGTATCAATGTTAGATTTTGCATACTTACTTTCTGCCAAGATAGATAAGGATTTTACTAAATTAACCACCCCAAATTTTCTCTAACTGTAACATCTAATAAATTATATCACTATTGCTACCTTTTCCATTAATTACATATATACTTAAACTTGTATTTCCTGGTTCAACTATAAACAGTCTCTCTTCACTTTGTCAAATAAGAATATTGTATCCCATACCCCTCTCTTCATCTCTCTTGTTCTCTTTTACATTGTCATGGTTAACATTTACAATCTGTTCTGTAATCATAGTTAAGGGGTTCTTGCTTTGCCTACAGGTGAACTGTAAATTTGAAAATCAGTAGACGATGTTTATGTTATAGTCACATAAACATTGTTTACTGCCCAGGCAAGTTGTATTCTATATTGGTGTTTTGTATTTTTTTTAATTTTTTTTTGAGGAAGATTAGTCCTGAGCTAATTACTGCCAGTCCTCCTCTTTTTGCTGAGGAAGCCTGGCCCTGAGCTAACATCCGTGCCCATCATCCTCTACTTTATATGTGGGACGCCCACCACAGCATGGTGTGCAAAGTGGTGCCATGTCTGCACCTGGGATCCGGCCGGCGAACCCCAGGCCGCCGAGAAGCAGAACGTGCGAACTTAACCGCTGCGCCACCAGGCCGGCTCCTGTTTTTTGTATGTTTTTGTCATATAACCCACCCCTACGAGACTTCTGATTGCCTTTTTACTTTTGTCTTGAATTGTCTACTTTTATGGCATCATTAGAATAGGTTCTCCCACATTTCCAGGATACCGTCACATCTAGGGACTGTTTTGTTTTCTACAGGAAGTTCTCTTACCGCCTTGCAGTCTCCTTTCAGTTTGGATGTGTGGCTCTCAGGCCTGGTGCACAGTTTTTATCCTGGGACTTGCCTTCATTGCTTGTCTGAACTAGTTCTATTGTTCATAGATCCAACTTGCTCCAATTTCCTAGATAATTCCCTTGTTTTGCCAGCCCACATTCTCAGGTAACATCCTAAAAAAGAGTATTTGGGAGCTTTCTCAGTTTACGCTTAATTTTCTTTTTCATTCTACCCCCGTATTTTATCCATAGTTTCGCTTGGTATAAAATTGCAAGGTCAAAGTCATTTCTCTGTGGAACTTTCAGGGATTGCTTATCTCCTTATATCCAGTCCCGTTGATGAGAGGTCTATTACCAGCCTAATTCTCATTCCTTTATGGAGGACTTGTATTTGCTCTCTGGAAGCTTTTAGAATCATCTCTTTATTTTTGCTATTCTTAAATTTTATGATATGCCTACGTGTAGGCTTTTTTCTTTTTCTCGCTCAGTACTCAGTATGTCTTAGACATTTGTAGACTCGTGTCTCCCTTTAGTTCTGAATAATTTTTTTTCTTGTTTAATCCAACAATTTTCTCTTCTCTCTGGAACTTTTATTCTGAAGTTGAAAACCTCGATTAATTCTGTATGAATATTTTTTCTGTCCTATTTTCTGTCTCTGACTACTGTTTTCTACTTTTCACATTTTCTCTACTCTTGTAGTAATACAAACAGAGCCCACAAGATGACCTTACAGGAAATGAGACAGACAAATGAGTCATAATTCATGTTTCTCCCTTCCAGTTAGTTAAAGGCTTATCCAGCATCAGCCCTGATGGGTCACTGGGTGAGTGTTACCTATGATGGTTTGTGTTCACTCCCACTTTATTATTGATTTGAAAATACTACAAGAGAACTCAAAGTGAAAACCAAGCCATAAAGGGAAAGTTATACAAAGTACTTATAAACATTCTTGTAGTTATAAACATTATTTCAATTCTCTGGATTGACACAGCTTTCAAGAATTTAGGTTCTTTAAAAGGATAATGTTATGAATATTGACAGAAAACTTGATGCTTCATTTTTCAAACAACATTCAAGTAAAATGAATGTGTCAAACGGTCAATAATTCAAAGAACAGAAAAACAGAAATTTTGAAGCAGGCTGAGTCCTACAATTTTCCTTTAAGCTCCACAGAATCTAAAATACCTGCTAAGCGCAAGTCTGTTCAATGACAGCATTCAGCAAAACTTGAGAACTTTTAAATAAAACTGTTTAAAAACAGAAACTTACGTATCTTATATTTTACCTGCAAAAATGATTGGAGATTTTTTGGGAGGAGAGATAGAAAGCCATCTCTGTTCAACAAGATATGCAATCAATCACTTCTAGGTTTTTTTCCCCCTCCCCTTTACTTTTTAACACCACCAAATAGGTGTGCTCATTACTCATAACTTTTCTAACTTTTTTGACACCACGATCACCTGGAAGGATTTAACAAACGCATGTTCCTGTCCTTTCCTCCTTCTCGAAACGGACTTGGTCAATCTGGGGGAGGGGCTGAGCACCTAGATTGCTAACCAGCGATACAGGTGAGTCTCACAATCGCGGAAGTTTGCGAGCCGCTTAATTAAAGAAAAGAGGGTGACCCATTCGAGAAGCCAGACTTCCACAATCCGAACTGTTGGCGGTGGGGCGCGGGCACCTGAGGTTTGGTGAGTTCCCCCAGGCAACGGTGATGCAGGGTCAAGAGCGAGAAGCGCGCGGGAGCACCAGGCGCCAGCGCCCGGGCCAAGCGCTGAGAAAGACGCTAAGGAGTGTTTCCGGGGCGGGTATCGGCCTTTCCCGGGCCTCCTCGGCAGGAGGCCCCCGCGGACCGACTCCGGCGACACCGCGAGGCTCGGATGGCAGAGGCCGCACGTTACGCAGGGATTTCCCCTGCGCCGTCCGGCTACCGGGGTCGGCAACTTTTTCTCTTCCTCTCGTCACCCGGCCCTCTCGATGAGCATCCGCCCAGCCCCGCCAAGCCCCCACGCCGCATGTCGGGCGCACGAGGAGGGGACGCTGGACAAGGCCCGCGTTTGGGCTGCCGCTGCCGAACCCGTACGGTCGGCGGGCGAACCTCGGCCTCTGGCCCGCGCAGCCGCCGCTCAGTCAGGCCCAGCCCCTCGCCCCGACCGCGGCTCCACCAATCGCCGGCCTCGCCCCGCGCCGCACCTGCGAGGAGGAGCCCGCGCGCCGCCGTCGCAGCGTCCCGCCCCGCTCCGCCCCGCCCCCACCGCGGCGCCCCGAGATCGTCCGCTGCCGGCTTCTGGTTCCCCGCGGGCGAGGAGCGGAAGCTGCTAGCCTCAGGGGGTCTTGGGCGCGCCAGAGCCCGGCGGGCTGCTGAACCGCAGCTTCCGGGCAGCCGCGGCAACGGCGAGGCGCGGGTGTCGCGCAGATTCCTCTACCCCGAGCGAGCGGGCGGGCGCCGCGAACCGGCAGCCCCGCTGGGGGCGGCGGCCGTGGCGTTCGCGCTCATACGCCCTGTGCGCCGCGTTCCATGCCGGTGTGGTGTTGTCGCTGCTCCCTGGCTGGTCATTTCAGGTGACTTCCCCGCAGCCGGGGCCGGGGTGGGCAGAGGGCAGGCGGGGTCGGGACGGGTCCGGGTGGAGGGCGAGCGCCCGGGTCTGCAGCGGCCTCCCGTCGCGCCCCGCCTTGCCGCCGCTTCCTGCGGGTTCCTACCTAGTCGGGGTTCCCGCCCCTGCTGGGTGGGCTGCTCGCTCCGGGAACTCTCCTCCCTTGTCCCCTTTTCCTCGCCCTGGACCAAACCAGTCATGGGACTGTGAGACCGGTTAGGCCCGGAGCGAGTCGGTCATTGCCAACTGAGACTTAATAAGTAGTGCAAAGTTTTAGTGAAGGGGTGTGAAGACCCTCCCCCACCGTTTAAAATGTCCGTCTTTAAGGAAATCCAATAACCTAAGTTACCGGGTTGAAGGGAGGTAGGGAACTATGTTTTATTTTATGTTTGGTAGTGTTTAGTAGTGTGATCTAGTTACAGATAAGTTCTGACTGGTTAAGATGTTAGTCATTGTAAGCCATATATATTGTAGAAATTAAATGTGGCGATTCTAGACTCACATTCTGGGGCAAGTTTTTAGGGATGATAAGGATAACACATTTTAAAATAAAACTGAATGTATGTTCTAGATCTAGCATGGCTGGCCAATACTTAAGTCAATTGTGGAGAGAAACACCAGACACTTGAAACTGGTTTTAACCCTGTGGCGAAGAAATACTAAGCTTAGCGAAGACATTAGTTAAAAGTACCTTGCTTTACATATGCGACTGCGAAATACGAAACTCTGATCTAGAGTTCTTAAATTTGGGTTCGTAGATAGAATTTAGGTGGCCCATGAATTTGGATGTAAAGAAAGGTGCAAGTCTCTAAATTTTAACCAAAATCTATTATTTTCTTTAATTACGAATATAAGCAACAAATCAGGATAGTATTTGTGACTTTGTCACCAATAAAAATCACAAATATTTTCATATCACATTACAGTTGCATGTATCTAAAGATACTGTTTATGCTTATTTATTCAAAAATGCAGTAATTATACATCACTGAAGTTGTTACTTAATACAGTAGAAAAGTACATATAAAATCACAATTTACTTTTTATAACCATATTTTAATATAATTGGTTTCCTTGTAAATCCTATGTGTCTTTCATGTGTTTAATAATAATATTCAAAGAAGAGGTCCAGAAGCTTCACCAAATTGCAAAAGGGGTGTGAGGCACAGTTCTGGTTTAGAACTGCTGTTGTAATAGAGAGCAATAATGCAAACTTGCCCAGCTTCTCAGTGCGTTTTGTAGAAGTCTCTAAATTCTGGATATTTAACAAAATTGTTTTATGTAATAAACTGCTGGCTTTTAAGTTCTAGGCAAACTTTTTTGTTGATTACTTGACAGACAGTGGTTTGAGAGTATCAGATCTACTTTGGAGAGTTTTGGAAAACAGGTTCCCCTGGTGAAAACTTGTTAAACTGAAGCCCCTGATTAAATAACTCGCCTTTCAGAAAATACTGTCTAAAAGCGTTTTGTCATCTATTGGTACAGTTGAACTCTTAAGATGCAGCTTGGGATTCATATCTATTCAATTAAGCCTAGGTGGTGAGTAACATATGCTTACCTCTTTGTACAGAAGTTTGGAGGACGTGATGAAAACAAAGTATTTGCTATATTTTGATCTTGAGGGATAAAGGAAAACAAGCATATTAGCCAAAAGATAGAAATTTTAATTAATAAACCATATTTCCATTGTAAAAACAGCTCTGTTGCATGTAAAATTTAAAAAATAAAACAATATTTAAAACAGCTCTTTTAGGAGAATTTTTATAATTTACTAATGCTATTTTTTGGAACAATTTCATTAGGAACACACATTTTAAAACAGATTGTGACATCTACATTTTGGATCTTGTCAAATTTCTGAAAGGATAGGTGTTGTGAGAGAACTGTCTATTAACTTTCCAAGGGAGAAATCCCCATATTTCTGTTCTGGAAGATGAAGAGTGTGACTGACTTCATTTGTGACTTTAGAACCTTCTTTTCATATGGTAGTATCAGTTTGGTAACAATTTAGGATTATGCTTCCAAAGACTATAAAAATTCAGATAGTAAAGCATTTCATTTCAGTTGGATCATTTAAAGAAGTATTGCTAGATGTGAGACAAGTTTTTGTTATCCAAGTATTATGCCTATGCTGTCCTTGTAAATTTTTTTTTGAGGCTTTGGACTATAGTGTTTCCAAAACACAGGATGGAAGGCCTCTAAAATCATCTTAAATTTCAAGGAGTCTTTTGATGCCTAACAGTAGGTAACTATTTTTCTATGTGTGTAAAACATGTGCAGCAATACTAAATTTATAACTTAGGCTCTGAATTTTTTAGAAAGAATATTTACTATTAGGTCTTTGTTTCATTGTTGCTTTATAAAACCAGTGAACCATATTTTTGCTTTGTTTGCTTCTCTTGCTTCAGTTTTCCTGTCTGTGTTAAACCAGTATTAGATTTATCAAATACCATGCAGGTATATTACAAATAGTTTATACCGATATTATAGATTATATACAGTTTATATATACACAGATTATCCCAAAGACTAGTAGAAAATCAGAACAAATTATGTGTAGAGAATTTAGATAAGGTAAAACTTTGGCTCTACTTTACTTGGTTGTTGGAATAGACTACAGTCAAATTGCTTGAGGCCCACACACAAAAAAACCTACTAGACCTAATAAATTCAGCAATATTGCAAAATACAAGATCATTATACAAAAATCAGTTGTCTTTCTATACACTAACAATGGACAATCTGACAATGAAATTAAAACAATTCCATTTATACTAGCACCAAAAAGAATGAAACTCTTAGGAATAAACTTAAAATATATAAATAATGTAATATATTATTTATAATATCTACGTATATATATTTTATAATATGAAATAAATAATATAAAAATGCATAAATTTAAAGAAGTGTACACTGAAAACTATAAACCATCAATGAGAAGAATTACAGAAGGCCTAAATAAATGAAAAGGAATCTCATGTTCATGGATTGAAAATATTCTTAAGATGGTTGTATTCCTTGAACTGATCTACAAATTCAGTGCAAACCTATCAAAATCCTAGCTGCCTTTTTTTCAGAAATTGACAGGCAGATCCATTTGCAATGACCCCGCAATAGCCAAGACAATCTTGAAAAAGAATAAAGTTGGAGGATTCATGCTTCCTGATTTCAGAACTTACTAAAAGAAACAGTAACCAAGATAATGTGGTGCTGTCATATAGATCAATGGAAAAGAATTGAGAGTCCAGGAATAAATCCTTACGTTTATGGTCAGTTGGTTTTCCATGGGATCCTCAGACAAAGTCTCTTCGACAAATGGTGCCGGGACAAATGGATATCCACAAGCAAAAGAATGAAGTTGGACTCCTACCTCACATCATATAACTAAAAGTGGATAAGAGACCTAAGAATCAGAACTAGAACTATAAAACTGGTAGAAGAAAACAGGAGTAAATCTTTGTGATCTTGGGTTAGGCAGTGGTTTCTTAGATATGACACCAAAAGCACAGCAACAAAAGAAAAAATAAATTGGACTTGATCAAAAATTATAATTTTTGTGATTCAAAAAACAACATAGAGGCTGGCCCTGTTGCTGAGTGGTTAAGTTTGTGTGCTCTGCTTCGGCGGCCCAGGGTTTTGCCATCGCGGATCCTGGGCACGGACATGGCACCACTCATCAAGCCATGCTGAGGTGGCGTCCCACATAGTACAACCAGAAGACCTACAACTAGAAAACTAGAATATACAACTATGCACTGGTGGGCTTTGGGGAGAAAAAGAAGAAGAAAAAAGATTGGCACCTGAGCTAAAATCTGTTGCCAATCTTTAAAAAAAAGAAAACACACAAAATGAGAAGACAACCCACAGATTGGGAGAAAATATTGCAATTTATGTATCTGAAAAGGACTTGTGTCCAGAATATATAAAGAATTTTTAAAGCCCAACAATAAAAAGACAATCCAATTTGAAAGTGGGCAAAGAATTTGAGTGTCTCTCCAAAGAGGATAAATAAATGGTCAATAAGTACATGAAAAGATGCTTAACATTACTAGTTATTAGGGAAATTCAAATAAAACTGCAATGAGGTGCCACTTCACACTCACTAGGGTAGTTTAAAAAATAAGTGTTGGTGAGAATATGGAGAAATTGGAACTCTCATATATTGCTGTTGGTGTTGTAAAATGGTATAGCGACTTTGGAAAATAGTTTGGCAATTCCTCAAGATGTTAAATATAATAGAGTTTATGGCTCAGTCATTGCATGCACTCCTGAGAGTGTACGCAGGAGAAATGAAAACATTTGTCCACACAAAAATTTATACGTGAATGTTCATAGCAGCATTATTCATAATAGTCAAAAAGTGGAAACAACCCAAATGTTCATCAGCTCATGAATGAATTAAACAAAACATTATATCTATGCAATGGAATATTATTCAGGAATAAAAAGGAGTGAAGTACCAGTACGTCCTACTACATGGGTGAAGCTTGAAAACATGCTAAGTGGAAGAAGTCAGACACAGAAGGCGACATAATGTATAAGGGGTTCCATTTATATGAAATGTCCAGAATAGGCAAATCCAATAAAGCAGAAAGTAGATTTGCGGTTGCTAATAGCTGGGGGGGTGGCAGGGGTGTATACTTTTGGGGTGATAAAAATTTTTCTGGAATTAGTGGTGGTAATTGCAAAACTAACAACCCTGAATTGTACACTTTAAAAGGGTGTTTTATAATACATGAATTACATCTCATTAAAGGCCTTGTTTAAAAAAAAAAAAGGCATTTTCTTTCCAGGCTCCCTTTATTTACTTTGGTCTAGGCCCCAATCAAATGAGCTGTTACGTTTCTTATGTTTTGGGGCTCTTGAAAGCTAGCTGTCTTTCTTGGTTAATAGAAGCCCAACAGGGGAGGCATTTTATTTCTGATTGTCTTAACCTCTCAAGTTTTTTCTTAAGTATAAACCACTTCTTTGAGAGGACAAGTCCAATGTAATGAAAAGTACTTGCTTATAAAATGTATAGTCAGTATATAGAGTTGATAGCTGTATTAAAATTGAGGCCTACCAGAAAAAAAAAGATTTCTTGAGACATCTTGACTTAGAATATTAGATGCCTCTTAATGAGTTATACAAAAATTGTATTCTGCTGTACCTTTAAGCAAAGTGATTTGGAGTTACTTTGTTTAAGCCAACACTTCTCTTCTAGCCATAGTTTGCTTGTTCTTAAGGAACATTTGAATGTTAAGTATTCATTTCACAGTATTTATTTGTAGACTGAAGAAACCGGCCAAGGCATTTTATATCATTGAGTTTTGCTTATAAAGTCAAATATGGTAGTAACTGCTAAAATGCTGTCATTCAAAGGATCATCAGTTGCTTTCAGAGTGTACAGGATATCAGATAATAATTTAAGTAGTCTAGCTTACTAAGTATATATATATATACTCTTAAGTTGACTCTAAGAGTCAACCCCAAGCATATCCTCCCTGTTTTTTAATGTGAAATGTTTAAGGTTTGAAGAAGGAGACATCTGTTTAATTGCCAGAAATTTAGAGTGATGATCATTTTTATTATTTCTCAGGTTATATATATAGAAACACAACACTGTTTGAGGTAAGGATGTCTGGAAGAAACTGAAGATGAGGTCTGCATCTCCTGAAAAAGAATTGTGGCCTTTACAACCACAATTATATTAATCAGGCCTGGGTATCCAAAAGGACTTTGGTCAGAAGCATTCTGAGGGAGCTGGAGAACTGTCTCTGGCACACACTTAGGAGAAATATCAGGGACAGGCCTGAGTATAATACATTCATGTTGAGTTCAGTTGCCAAGAAGCAGAAGCAGGCAAGACAGCTAGTATACCTGGATCTGATAAGATGTAGTAATTGGAATGATCTGAAAGGGATGGATTATGCACAAGATATTTCTTCCAGGGGCAGGGTTGCAGTGTGAGGAAGGGCTTTCTCTAGTAGCCACGACCAAAGAGTATTCTGGCCAAAAGGGGCCGTGTATAGTTAGGGGAGTCCAAATATTCGGGGTAGAAGTTACATCTTCAGTTTAGGAGAGCTGTCAGTGTGTTCTAGGGAACTCTGCCCTATCCTAGGGTAGATTGGGAACTTGTAAATTTAAAGGGAAGCAGAAATTTTGGTCTGTGATTCTTTCCACTTATCACCCTCCTCCGGAATCAATGAGTCCGATGAAACAACCCATCCATCCCATGTTTATTGTTTTGGTAATAGTATTAAACGCACTCACCCATTAGTTGGTATTCAGTTTAATATTTCCAGACACTGGCCTGTTGCTAACTATATGAAGATGAAAAGTAACTTGGGGATTCTATTCTGAAGTAATCTCAAATGTAATGTAGAACGTTAACTCTGCTTGGAGTATACTCCATTTATTGTGTGGCCACGTCAGAATGCTAAAACTAGTTTCTAAGGAGGCAATTGAGAAAGAAGGTAGATTAGAAATCAACATTAAGATTTTCCATACTTCATTATCTCCTTGAGAATAAATATGATATATACTTCATTTTTTTACCAAAATGCACAATTTGTAATATATAAGCACAGTAACTTCTCTTTAAAATATTATATGTGACTACTCTAAATATACTGCCGTTAATCCACTCACCTTTTTATCAGTGAGAAAAAAGAAGAGAAACTAGCCATTCCTAGGAGCTCTCAGAGAATTATAAAAATCCTCAATACAGTGCTATGTCTTTGATCATTAAAAATAACTTCTTATTTAGGACTTGTCTTATGTAGGACTTCCCTACAAGGTACAAAAGAGATATTAGCAGCTATTCAGGATTTCTGACATTGGAAGTGGTGTAGGTTGACATGTAGCTAAGCTGTTAATTTGAAGGCATTAATCAGAAGAATTTCCTTTTTTCCTTTTATGGAACTATTGAATATTTTATGGACTAAATAAAATCTGAGTAATGACAGATTTTTATAAGGGCTATATTGACTTTATGTGTCTCATTTTGTTCCATGTTTTTTTTAAAAAAGAAGTTATAGTGACACTGAAACCGAAGGAGAGATTTTTAATTCCTTAGTGCAATATTTTGGTGATAATTTGGGGCGAAAAGTTAAAGCTATGCCATTAGTTGAAGAAACTACTCTACTTGAAGATTCATCAGTGACTTTGCCTGTGGTAGTAATAGGTAAGTTATCGCATTTTATCTCTTAAATTACAGTTATGATCCTTACTACTTTTGTAAGTGTACAGTTACATAGCACAAGTTCTTAGGATTGTATTGAAAAGTATTCTTAGGTTGTTTGATATGGTAAAATAACCAATAACCAAATCATTGGAGAGAGTAATTTGTTAATCTGATATTAGATTCTATGTTAGAATACAACATCTTTTCATTGAAGGATGAATATTACTCTGTTATTTAAAAATATTGTCTATTGGTTGTGTTAATTATATGACAGTGTCATGGTAAAGATGAACAACAGTATTCTTAGATCCCTGTACAGAGCATTCTGTGTACGTTATTGGATTATGCCTTACAACCTGACAGCCCTCTGATGTTGTAGGGCTAGCTATAGACAGGGAAACTCAGAAGTTGAATAACTTGTGCAAGTTAGTAACCAGTGCTTAGTTAGTAATGAACGTTATAGTACTCTGCAGTAATGTTTATAATTACCTGAACCATAACATTACTATTATATATCCTTTGTACCACCTCAACAGATATGCATATTAAAAATTAAGCTATATATAGAACCTAATTACTTTAGAATTATAAAGTTTATGATTTAGTTTTATTGCATGTATTTAATTACCTGTCATGTATATCTTTCATCTAATATTCAGACTCATGAAATCAAATAAGTACTATAAGGTGAAGCCAAGCTGAAGGAAAGAATAGGGGACATAACGTACCATGATGGCATACAACTTCCTTAGTTTCTTTGATAGCCTGTTTCAACGTTAATGGAAGGAGTGAAAAGTCCTGTCCCCTGACTGGCTTGTGGGAGATGAGGGGAAGGAAGGAAGGAAAGGAGGAAAGCAAGATAGTTCTATATTAGATTGCCCTCTGGAGGAGATGACAGTTTTTGTAGTAGTTCTCATCCAGGATATCTCAGATCATACCTTGTGTTCCATTTTCCAACTTATGTCCAACCCTGGTTTTCCATCCTGCATGTCTTGGAATGAGTAAATGTCTTGTTCTACCTGGGCTATGGGAGTGTTAGAAGAGGAAAAACTACCTTCATCTGTTCCTGCCCACTGCACTCGCTCCAAAACAGTCCATTCCTATTTTGCCCCAGCTAGCCAATGAGTAGCTTAACCTAATGTATTAGAGCCATTACTGCCGGCAGTATCACCACCAGTCTGAGCATAGATAAAGAGCTAATTTCCTTAATAGAGGTATTGGTTTTGTGTTGTCATAACACTTTTCCACAAACCTAGTGGCTTTAAACAAAAAATTTATCTCGCAGAAGTCCAGCACTTGTCTGATTGGGCTAAAATCATGGTATCAGCAGGGCTGCATTCCTTTCTGGAGGCTCTAGGGTAGAATGTTTCCTTGCTTTTTACAATTTCTAGAGGCTAGCGCATTCCTTGGCTCCTGGACCCCTTCTGCATCTTCAACGCCAGCAATGTTGTTTCGCTCTTTAAGTTGCTTTTCATAGTCATGTTTCTGCCTCCCCCCAGCTGGGAAAGGCTCTATTTTTAAGGACTTGTGTGATTATATTGGGCCCATCTGGATAATCCAAGGTACTCTCCCCATCCCAAGGCCCTTAATTTAATCACATCTACAAAGTCCTTTTGCTGTATAAAGTAATAGGTTCTTGGGAGTGAGAGAGCATTCTGCCTATATAGTTCTCTGTGAACTGCCTGTTTCTTTGCCTCTTGTCTGTTGAGTGTTGTTTCTTTTTGATTCCAGAAACTTGGCTCTTTGCCTCACATCTTAACTCGCACTATTTTTCATTTATTTAATATTTATTTTAATTAATAGACTTTATTTTTAGAGCAGTTTAGGTCTACAGGAAAATTGAGCAGAAAGTACAGAGAGTTCTCATATACTCCTTTTCTCCCCACCCCCTGCCGTTTCCTCTATTATTAACATCTTGAATTGGTGTGGTACATTTATTATAATTGAGGAATCACCGTTTATACATTATTAACTAAAATCTGTAGTTTACATTAGGGTTTACTCTTTGTGTTGTACAGTTCTGTTGGTTTTGCTGAATGTATACTGTCTTGTATCCACTGTTATAGTATCATACAGAATAGTTTCACTGCCCTAAAAATCTCTTGTGCTCCGCCTATTCATCCTTTCTGTCAACTCCCGACCTCTGGCAACCACTGATCTTTTACTGTCTCTATAGTTTTACCTTTTCCAGAATGTCATATACATGGAATCATACAGTGTGTAGCCTTTTCAGACTGGCTTCTTTCACTTAGCATTAATGCATTTAAGATTCCTCTGCTTTTTATGCCTTGATAGCTTATTTCTTTTTATTACTGAATACTATTCCATTGTATGGATGCTTCACAGTTTTGTTACCCATTCACTTACGGAAGGACATTTTGGTTGCTTCAAAGTTTTGACAATTATGAGTAAAGCTTCTATAAACATGCATGTGTAGGTTTTTGCATGGCCATTAAGTTTTCAATTCATTTGTTTAAATACCTAGGAGTGTGATTGCTAGATCATATGGTTAGACTGTGTTTAGCTTTTTAAGAAACTGTCAAATTGTCCTCCAAAGTGGCTATTATCATTTTGCATTCCCAGCAGCTATAAACAGGAGTATCTGTTGTTCCACATCCTTGTCAGCATTTGAAGTTTTCTGTGTTTTGGATTTTAGCTGTTCTGATAGGTGTGTAGTGGTATCTCGTTTTAATTTGAAATTCTGTAATGATATATGAGGTTGAGCATCTTTTCATATGCTCATTTGCCACCTATGTATCTTTGAGGTGTCTGCTCAGATCTTTTGCCTACTTTTCAATTGATTGGGTTGTTTGTTTTCTTGGGGTTGATTGAGATTTAAGAGTTCTTTGTACATGTTACAAAGAAGTATTCTATCAAATACATCTTTTGCAGATATTTTCTCCCAGTCTTGGACTTTTCTTTCTCTTAACAGTGTTTATTGCAGAGCAGAAATTTTAAATTTTAATGAAGTCCTGCTTATCAATTTTTTCTTTCATGGATCCTTTCAGTGTTATATGTAAAAACTCAGTTACCAAACCCAAAGTCACTTGGATTTTCTCCTATGTTCTAGAGGTTTATAATTTTTTTGTTTTATATTTAGGTCTATGATCTGTTTCAAGTTAATTTTTGTACAAGATAGAAGATTAGCATCTAGATTCGTAATTTTGCATGTGGATATCCAGTTGTTCAGTACCATTTGTTGGAAAGACTATCCTTTCTCCATTGGATTGCCTTTGCTCTTTGTCAAAAATAAGTTGACTGTATTTGTGAGGCTTTCTCTCTAGGCTTTCTATTCTGTTCCATTGATTTGCCTATTATTCTTCCATCATTTCCACACTATCTTGTTGATTGTAGTTTTATAGTAAGACTTAAAGTTAGATGGTGTCAGTCCTGACTTTGTTTTTCAGTATTGTGTTGGCTATTCTGGGTCTTTTCACCTTTCCATTTAAACTTGAGAGTCAATTGCCAATATCCACCAAGTAACTTGCTGGGATTTTTATTTGGGTTGCATTGAATCTGTAGATCTAGTTGGGAAGAACTGACATCTTAACAATATTGAGTTTTCCTATCTGTGAACATGGAATATCTTTCCATCTATTTAGATATTCTTTGATTTCTTTCATCAGTTTTAATGGTTTTCCTCATATAGATCTTACATATATTTTGCTTGACTTATACCCAAGTATTTCTTTTTTGTGCAAATATAAGTGCAAATATAAGTGTTGTATAATTTCAAATTCTACTTGTTCATTGCTGGTATATAGGAAAACAATTGACTTTTGTATATTAACCTCATATTGTGTAATATTGCTCCTATTATTTGTTAGTTCCAGGAGTTTTTTGGTCAATTCTTTGAGATTTTCTACATAGATAATCATGGCATTGACGAACAAAGAGAGTTTTATTTCTTCCTTCCCAATCTGTGTATCAAAATTTTATTTCCTTTTCTTGTCTTATTGCATTAGCTAGGTCTTCCATCATGGTGTGTGTTGAGTAGGAGTGGTGAGAAGAGACATCCTTGTTTTAACAGTCTTAGAGGGAAATCACCTAGCTTCTCACTATTAAGTATGATGTTAGCTGTAAGTTTTTTGTAGATGCTCTTTATCAAGTTGAGGAAGTTCCCCTATATTTGTAGTTGCTAAGAGTTTTTATCATGAATAGGTGTTAGGTTTTGTCAGATGCTTTTTCTGTGTGTGTTAATATTATTGTATGATTTTTCTTCATAGTTTTGTGTCTTTCTTTTTGCTTCCAGGAAATTAGCTCTTTACCTCAGATCTTAACTCCCACTATTTGTCATTTGTTTTTAATTTTTACAAAGTCAAATGGTTTCTTTTTCTTTTTGTCTTTTGAGTTTTGTGTCATGCTTAAAGGCTTCCCACTCCAGCATTATAAGTAGAAATATCCAGCTTTCTAATATTCTTATGATTTTACTTTTCATATTTACATCTTTGAGCTTATTTTATTTGAGGAAAAATATTAGGCAAGGAACAGGATTGTTTTTCCTGATCGCTAGTAGTTGTCCTAGTTGGATTCAGTTTTTGATAGATGAAGATAATAAAGAAGTGGCAGCCCATACTAAAGGAACTAGAGAAATGGAAGTAGTTAGGGTCCAACAAAAAAATCCGGTTCGGTTTTAGTTAAAGCATATAAAAATATAGGAAGGCAGTAATAGGAGATGGAACTGGAAACATGGTTGAGACCAGAACATGGAGAACACTGGGTAGTCAGAAACAAGCAATTAAGGCCTTTAGAATAGAGGGGGTAACATGACGAGGACCACGTGTTACCAAAACTCATCAATGTAGAATGTGAAATTATTTTGGAGTAGGTGAATATGGAGGAGAAACAGGAGGAGATTTTTGTCTTCTGAGTGAGAGTATAGGAGTGAGAATAGCAGACAACTGTATGGATATAGGTTTACAAAGTACGTTTGGAATTAGAACCTGATTAACTTAAGATTTTGCTCGTACCTTACTTTGAGAAGGGATGAGGTTTAAAAAGGATAGGGCACCTAAATGAAGGAACTCATGAATTTGCTTTTGAAAACATTGTGACTAAGTTATTAGTGGGTCAGTCAGGTGGAGTGAAGAAATAGCATGGTGGGATGTATTTTTGGGGAAGAGGTCAGCCTAGAGATCTAATTTTGGGATTCAGTAGCAATAGGGAGTTGAAGCTTAAGTAGATGAGACTCCCAAAAGAAAACAGGAGAAGACAGAAGTCAGAATCTTGTGAATATTTGGTTTTAAGAGTTTAGAGAAGGAGGAATTGGTGAGCGAGAAAAGCCAAGGAACAAGAGTATTAAGATGCATGACACACCTCTCTCCACTTTTTTTTTTAAAAAGGAAATGGACCTTCAGGAATCTGCCTTTCTTATATGTTATCAGGCTATAGACCATATTTGTCATCAGAAGCAATACATCCAAATACAATCTTACATAGTAAATTAGAAGAAGCAAGACATCTTTCCATTGTTGATCAGGTAGTATTATCATTATATTATTATTATGTTATTATTATTACATGTCAATCTTTTAAATTTTTTTTTAATACTCAGGTTGTTTTTCTACTTACAGAAGCATTGTGTTTCTTAGTTGAAAATCCTTTCTTCTAAATAACATTTTCTATCATTTTAACTTTAAATTTTGTAAATATGTTTTGCTGAGTTACTTCTCTTTATTTTCCTGAATTGGTTTAGAGCAGAATTCCCTAAATTATTTTATGATGGAGTTTTAATAGGTGCCCTATGCTCAACTAAGTTTGGGAAGTGCTGCTTTTTATTGTTGGAGCATCAAGGTAGAAATATTAAGGTATATTAGCATATTAAAAGCATCTTCAAGTTTTACAGTAAAAGGATCTGATTAGATTTGTTAAAACCCAACCTTTTCTCATATTTATTTGACCAAAGAATCTAACCAGATCTCAAGGACCATCACTGCTCTGTAGCACACTATCTGGGTAATGCTGGATTAGAGCAGTGGCCTTCACTATTATTATGATAGCTATGTTTGTTTTTCTAAATTCTATCTACCTTTTTTCCTTCTTTTTTAAAAAATTCATTCAGGACTTAGAATACTTGTCTGAGGGCCTTGAGGGCCGATCATCCAATCCAGTTGCAGTACTTTTCGACACACTTCTTCATCCAGATGCTGACTTCGGGTATGATTATCCATCTGTTTTGCATTGGAAATTAGAACAACATCATTATATCCCTCACTTAGTTCTTGGTAAAGGTCCACCTGGTGGAGCTTGGCATGTAAGTATATTTTTCTTAGCATTTTTGTTATATGTCATCTTGATAAGACCATTTTGATTCTTAAACATTATGATACAATGTTATATGATGTTTACCAAATATTTAGCTGAGAATTTTAATGCTGTTCAGTTAAATATGGGTTAATTACTAGTAGAAGTTAAGCCAGATTTGATTAGTGATAGTCTTAGAATAAGTGTTTCTCTATATTATTTTATAAGAATTATACAGAAAATATTTCAAGAATATTTTGCATAGTAAAAAATTTATTCATTTTAGAGTTTACAAAATCTCACACAGTATTTCATGCCAATATCCATTATTTTTCCTGTATTTTCCAGATTGTAAATGAAAAGTATTGTAAAAGAAAGAAGTTGTATTAGTCTGCTTGGGCATGGACTGAGTGGCTTAAACAACGGATACTTATTTCTCACAGTTGGAGGCTAGGAAGTTTTAAGATCAAGGTGTATTTAGTTCATGGTTATGGTCCTTTTCCTGGTTTGCATATGGCTGCTTTCTTGCTGTGTCCTCACATGGTGGAGAGAGTGCTCTCTCTCTTTCTCTTCTTATAAAGCCACTAATACTACTGTGAGGGCACCACCTGCATGACCTCATCTAGCCCTAATTACCTCTCAAAGGCCCCATCTCCAAATACCATTACATTGGGGATTAGGGCTTCGGCATATGGAGTTTTCGGGGTGACACAGTTCAGTTCATAGCAGAGGTTAAGCCAGAGAACCAATAGCGCATTTCATTAGGGAGCAGCAACTAATAATTCTTCACTCTTGTGTCCTTAGCAGTTAGTACAGTGTCTAGTGAGTGCTCATTTCTTGTACAAATAAATAATTTTTGCTATATTTATGAAATAGACTTCATGGGAATTTTAACATTAAATATCCAATATTTAGTACAAACTTCACTTAGATCTTCCTGTATTCGTGCAGTGTTACATGTCTTAAAGTTGTTTACATTTAATTTTTCAACTGATTGTTTCAGGGTATTTGGGGACTTTCTAGATTAAATATATTGCTGACTTTTTTTTTTTTTTTGAGGAAGATTAGCCCTGAGCTAACTACTGCCAGTCCTCCTCTTTTTTTTTTTTTGCTGAGGAAGCCTGGCCCTGAGCTAACATCCGTGCCCATCTTCCTCCACTTTATATGTGGGACGCCTACCACAGCATGGTGTGCCAAGTGGTGCCATGTCCGCACCCGGGATCCGAACCAGAGAACCCCGGGCCGCCAAGAAGCGGACCGTGTGCACTTAACCACTGCACCACTGGGCCGGCCCCTCACTGACTCTTTTTAATCTTAATTCTCTTTATGGTAATAGGTAGCAACTACCAAATTATCTGTGCCTTTTAACTTAAGTGTTTAAATTTGCTCTATTAATAAGTAACATTCTTAATAAAACTGTATTTCTTGAAAAAGCCATAATATGTTTTTAAAAAGTTTTTAGACTACATTCTCTAAGTTCCTCAGGTTTTATATTGTACTTATATTTTTCTGCTTAGAAAAATGTGCAGGCAATAATTGATCTCTGTTACTTCATTTCTTCCACTTATATATATAGGAAAGTTAAAGTATGGTTAAGCCTTGATTGCTGAAAACACATTTGAGTCAGTGTTAAAGCTGAAATATACCTACAACTTGCTGAATTTTTTTTCATGCCTCATATCTACTAGAATAGGGATATAGATAAACGATATTTGAGCTGTGATCCAGTTGTCAAGCATCACTTCTATGAAGCTTCCTTACTTTCCCAGGCATAATTATTTGTCCCCACCTCTGCATTCTGTAATTTATTCTTAATCTCATAGTGCTTGACTGTAGGACTGTTTGTTTAGGCAGTTATCTCCCCTGTGGTGCTTCACATACATTTCAGTTAACCTTGGTTATTACTCAAATGTAAGCTCCCTAAGTCTTTTTCCTCTCATATTAGTCCTATATAGTTCTCTGTTTCTCTTGTGATCCAATTTCTCACCACTTTCCTCACTTCCAGACTTTCTATGTCCCTTCAACTCCATTTAGTAATAAACAAGCTTTCCTACACTCATTTCAGTTATGTCCTACTTCTACTTCTTTTCTTGAAAGCTTGCTCTTTCCTGAAGATACCACCCTCGCTCCAGCTCTCTGAAGTGGAGTCTGTTCATTCTCCCATAGCCCCATGTCCTATCGGGTTGGCTAGTGACATTGGTGCTGTCTTTATTCCCTATTGCTCTTGTGTAGAAGCCCTTGTTCCTTTGAACAGGTTGTCATTTTCTAGCTTCTCTACCATTCCAGAATGAGCCCCTCAATTATTGAATCTGTGGCACCTAACTCATTGTCTTCCATTATATCCCAACTTTTATTTCACCTTGAATAACTTTACCTTTACGTGACACAGATCCAACACCTTAACGTCTTAGTCTCTTAATCTCTTCATTCTCAATGATCTTCTCTTCCATTCCTCATTAGGTACTAACTCCAGTGGCTCCACTGTAACTCTTACCTTTCCTAACTACTCAACTTGTAAACACCTAAATTCTCAAATCTTCAGGATCACAACTTTCTGTTCTTCCAGCTGCATCACCCCGTTACTTAACACTGTACCTAAACTTGTAACACAGAGAATGTTCCAGGCCCTGATTTTTAACCTCCTTACCTGTCCAGCTTAGGTTCTATAATCCATCGACTTAACCATTCTCCTAATTTCCTTGATCACATGGGCTTGGCAAAGAAAAGCAATTCATACAACTGTGCACTTTATCTTTTCCTATAAAACATTACCAGAAAAGAAAAAAATTCGTACAACTGTGAAAAGTATTCTCCAATGTCAGTTGGGTCCTGAACACTACATTTGGCAATCCTTTACTATTTCCTTATTAAGTTCTTCTCAAACCTCTATCCTTTTTTTTCCACCTTCCTGCTTAGAAATACTCGATTCTTACTTTATAGAGAAAATGAAATCTGAAGTGGGTTTGGCTAAAAAGAAAAAAATCCATGTTACTGCTGAAATATGTTTTTTGATTGTACATTTTTCTTCAAATAGAATATGGAAGGCTCCATGTTGACAATCAGCTTTGGAAATTGGATGGAGCTACCTGGACTTAAATTTAAAGATTGGGTGTCCAGCAAACGAAGGTAAAGATTAAACTAGTCAAATTCTTTAGTGTACAATGGGAAAGAATCTGTTGCCAAATTTCGAAGTATTTTTGATCCTGTAAATGAATAATATAAATGTGTGTTTATTTCAAATAAAACCTCTTTCCAGCAGTGATTATGAGCTAGTTTACATTTGGAGATGTTATAGAACTAAGCACACAGAGGTAAGGGATTGTCTACAGGTTGGGTTCCTTTTGTTTTTTTTTTAAGATTTTATTCTTTTCCTATTTCTCCCCAAAGCCCCCTGAGACATAGTTGTATATTCTTTGTTGTGGGTCCTTCTAATTGTGGCATGTGGGATGCTGCCTCAGCGTGGCTTGATGAGCAGTGCCATGTCCGCGCTCAGGATTTGAACCAATGAAACACTGGGCCGCCTGCAGCGGAGCGCGAACTTAACCACTCGGCCACGGGGCCAGCCCCCAGATTGGGTTCCTTTGATTTCTTTGTTAATCGTGGATTTATCCCACTCTCCTGTTAAACCACTCTACGTTTAGTACTTTCTCATCCACCCACATATCCTTTCTACACTTATTTTGTTAGTGGATACATAACTTCATGTATGCATATCTCATGTATACATACAAAAGTGTTTGACTTTCAGCGTAGAAGAGTGTATATGATTTATAATTTAGAATGATGGAATAAACTAGAATCTGTGAGATTGGCTCCTTGGATATAGAGGTAAATATTTAATAAGAAATATGAAAGTAGGAGTAACTCAAAAGAAATTTCAACTTGGAAGAGTACAAGTTCATTTATTTTGGGAGAAAGAACTTGAAATTTAAAAAGAGAAATATGAAAAGCCCCATTATTTTCAAGGATAGTAAATATTAAATTAGATAGGAATTACTAATCCAGAGAACCTAGTCTAATTTGACTGCTCACAGAAACAATAAAGCAGGAAGTTAGTTAGAACAGGGCTATAACATTTGAATGCTTGACTTCCTGCCAGGTAGAAACCATGTTAATTCACAGAAATTATCCTTAATTTGAGAAGATTTAAGGAGAGCAAATTTAGACCAGCATGAATAATTGAGATTAAACATTTCACATTCCTTTTGGGTTTTTTAAAATGGAATTTTATATGAGTTTGAAATGTAAAGTTGCAAAATCAGGCAAGTTGTACGAGTTCTTGATTCTTTTTAAGCAATCAAGTGAAATTGCTCAATATTCTTCCCTTTGTGATGTGGGTAAAAAAGGGATTATGTGATTTATATACCAGCAGTGTTCATCCTTCTAAGTTGGGCATACTCTGTATTGAAATTATATGTGAAAATGAGTCTTGTGATAAATAATTAGCTTTAGTTCCTGCCTTTGCATAGTGTTGAGAAGACTCTTAGATCTCTAGAGAGTGGGAGGGTTTGAATCCTGACTGTACAACTTCTAATGTTGTGACCCTGGCCAAACAACTTAAATTACTGCTGTCAATTTCCTAGTTTGTAAAAAGGAGATAATAATAGTAGTAACTACTACATAGGGTTTCTATAAAAATAGTTAATACATTCTAAATCTTAATTAAATTTTAAGAAGAAATTTTTATGACTTTCTTCCAAGTTATAATGAATTATGTGAAACAATTTGGGTAGGTATGTTTTTATTATTATTTATCTCTAATTGGGGTACAGTGTTTAGGGCTACTAATATCCACTGCTTTAAAGTTCAAGTGGAAAATGAAAGAGGTACTAGTGCATTTTTTCATAAAGAGCAGATTACATTTATAGATCTCTTTATGAGTAGGAAAACACAGAAAGAAATGTCATATCTTATTTACTTAGATGATTTTGTTCAAAAGACAGTTATTTTTGCTCATCATGAAAACAGAAAGCAACTCATTAAAAATCGTGTCAAGATGGTACATATTATCTTTAAGAAGTATATGTATGGGGGCGGCCCCGTGGCCGAGTGGTTAAGTTCGTGCGCTCCACTTCAGCAGCCCAGGGTTTCGCCAGTTCGGATCCTGGGCACCGACATGGCACCGCTCATCAAGCCATGCTCAGGCGGCATCCCACATGCCACAACTAGAAGGACGCACAACTAAAAATATACAACTATGTACTGGGGCCACTTTGGGGAGAAAAAGTAAAAATAAAATCTTAAAAATAAAAAAGTATATGTATTAGTTAGACTTGCAATATCTCAACAATTGTAATCTAAATAATTCAGTCTAGTTATAGGTTACAATTGTGAGATAGACTATAAAACAGTCTAATTTTCAGATATTCACATTTTAATCCCTTCATTTATTTAATAAGTTATTGATAAAGGCAGCTAATCTGAACAGCTATATGCCAAGGCGCTGGGGAAACAAAGATGCATTCAATATAGTCTCTACTCTTATGGGATTTCTATTGATAAGACTAATTTATCAACATTTTTAAAAAGAAAAAAAAACCTTGCTTTCTTTGTAAAGTGTTAGGATAATTTCTAACTTAGTCCAGAGGAATTAAAAAGATATAATAGCTTACTAGGTAGAGAAGTAATAATCATAGAAACTAAAAGTACTATCCGGCTAAGATATTTTTCCTTTCCCTTTTTTAGAAACCTTAAAGGGGATCGAGTTATGCCAGAGGAAATAGCTCGCTACTATAAACATTATGTAAAAGTCATGGGTCTTCAGAAGAATTTCAGAGAGAATACTTACATTACGTCTGTATCAAGACTCTACAGAGATCAAGATGATGATGATCGTCCAGACAGAAATATTTCAACGCGGCATTTACAGATAGAGAAGTCACAATTTATCAAGAGAAACTGGGAGATCAGGGGTTATCAGCGAGTAGCAGATGGTTCCCACGTTCCCTTCTGTCTGTTTGCTGAGAATGTAGCTCTGGCAACTGGAACATTGGATTCTCCTGCCCATCTGGAAATTGAAGGGGAAGATTTTCCTTTTGTGTTTCATTCAATGCCTGAATTTGGAGCTGCTATAAACAAAGGAAAGTTGAGTGGCAAAGTGGATCCAGTGTTAATTGTAGGTTCTGGGCTTAGTGCAGCTGATGCAGTACTGTGCGCTTACAACAATAATATCCCTGTGATTCATGTATTTCGCAGACGAGTAACTGATCCAAGCTTAATTTTCAAACAGCTTCCCAAAAAGCTTTATCCAGAATACCATAAAGTCTATCATATGATGTGTACTCAGTTATATTCTGTAGACTCAAATCTTTTATCTGATTATACGAGTTTTCCTGAACACCATGTGCTTTCGTTTAAGTCGGACATGAAATGTATTCTTCAAAGCATCTCTGGATTGAAGAATATATTTAAGCTCTCTGCAGCAGTAGTATTGATAGGTTCTCATCCCAACCTGTCTTTTCTGAAGGAGCAAGGGTGTTACCTCGGTCATAACTCAAGCCAGCCAATCACATGTAAGGGTAATCCTGTGGAAATAGATGCATATACCTACGAGTGTATTAAAGAAGCTAACCTTTTTGCATTGGGTCCTTTGGTTGGAGACAATTTTGTTCGATTCTTAAAGGGAGGGGCATTGGGTATTACACGCTGTTTAGCTACAAGACAGAAGAAAAAGCATTTATTTGTTGAAAGAGGAGGAGGAGATGGGATAGCTTAAAGCAAGTTTACAAGTAATTTTATATGGACAGTTTACTGTTAAAAGATTTTTAATAGTGGTTTTGCAGTGTACTGGCTTGAATTTCTGGACTTTGAACTAGCTGGAGAACAGCCTCAAGCTATAGTAACTATTTTTTAAAGTTACAAGAACTTGGTGTCCTGATTTATATTGTAATGTATCAAAACTGCCAGTGTTCAGACAAGTAGAAACACTGCCAATTTGGTATACTTTAAGCTCTCACTTAAGTGAAACATGGTTTTCTTTCAAGACTTACTTTTTGTGATCATTTTTGGTTATGTCTGATTTTAAAATATTACAGCCTTGAATCTATAAAACCATACAGTCAATAGGCCAGAAATTGTCCTCAGTATATATTGGGTCACCTTGCTGCTCAAAGGGTAGTGCAAAGATCAGCATCTGCTTCAGTTGTAACCTGTTAGAAATGGTTCTGAGGCCCGACAATAGACATATTGAATTAGAAACTGCATCTTAATAAGATTCTCAAGGAATATGTATGCTCATTAAAGTTTGAGAGACACTGGTCTAAATGACAATGGGATACAAGGTTATGTATGCTGGGGGTGGGGTGGGGATAGGAGGCATTTACAACTCAGGTTTTATTTATTTTGAAATTACCAATTACGTAAATTAATTTATTACCAAATATGAAAAGTATTTTTATTGAAACCTTAACAGGTACTTCATATTCTTAGCTTCTAATAATTTAAACAGTCCAATAATGTTGGCATATATTTAAGACATCCAGGAACCTGGCCAGGACTTTTTTTGAAGGTTTATTCTCTACTTAACTAGCGTTAACAATCTAGTTTGCAGTTCAGTGAACTGTGAAAGGAACTACTTATCCCTGTGTGACCACTGAGTTAAATTTGTCACTGAAACTAAGATATTTGGGCATAAGGACTTCTAACATTGTAATATTATTTGGGTATTGCTTGAACTATTAAAGGTCAAAATTGAGAATAAGGTTAAAATCTGTCTTCTCCATTCTCAAGATGAGTACTTTGAAATTTATTCACTGGAGATGACAGAGCAGCTCATACTATGGTTATTTATTGAATTATATGCTGTATCTTAATTTATATTTAAGTGTGCTTAATGTCTGTTATTTATACACAAATCCCTAGAATTCTGAGTGTAAGATAAAAAAGTCTTTCTTCTGAAGTTCTCTATGGCAAATTGAATTTCTCTCTTTTTTTTAATTTACATCTGGAATGTGTTTATTGAATGTCTAACTATTCCGTTTTTTCTTAGTATTAAAAAATGGACTACAGTATCAGTATTCTGTACATCTTATTGCAACATTCTGTTCCTAAAATATAATTTACCTTAAAATTGTTCAGAATGTACTTCTTCCTCCAACTAGCTGTTTCAGATGAATTGATGAATTCTTACACTCTTGATAAACATGTCAGATTAATTTGATTTTAGCAATATAATCCAGTTTTAGTTTACTTTGATGGCAAATTGTTTTCAAATTAATTTCAACCTACTGATATGGTGTAAAATCCTGATTGCACTTGATTGAGCACTCTCCAGCTTGCCTGTTCTTAGGAGCTCTGAGTGAGTTGGATTGGATTTTTTTTTAATGTCATTTCTAAATTGAAAATGAGATAGCTATAAAGATGGTTTCTAGGAAAGGACAAGAACTGCTGACATCCCCTTGTGTCTCAAGTTTGCTCTTACCCCACCAATAGCATTTTTGAGATGAGAATATTCACCCAAAAAAACCCGATTTCAGGGAAAATAAAGCTTCAGTGAGGCCCTAAATAAACCTGGTGAATAATTTCATCTTGAGTAACCTTCCATTTCTCAATTGTCCCTCAAACTTAGCTGCCCTGTATTGCATATAACATTAAAGCTTTTCTCTGATGTACTATACTCTTGTACTCTTAAATTGATCAGCTTCTGTCCCATAATTTCAAATCTTAATTTTCAGTATCAAGTAGCTAGTCAAGGAGAGGGGGAAAGCACTAAATATTTGACTAGTCTTACTATGATGTGGGCATTGCTGCTTCATCCCTCAACAGTCTAGCTCTTGAAAAAAGGTTTAAAAAGCATAATCTCTCTGGGGTTTTAAAAATAATACAATAAAAATAAGATTTAGTCACAGCTCTCAGTCTTTGGGGCAATCTTGAGTTTGTGAACTTTGTTCAACTTTACTGTTTTTTTTTTTAAAGATTTTTTTTCCTTTTTCTCCCCAAAGCCCCCTGGTACGTAGTTGTATCTTCTTAGTTGTGGGTCCTTCTAGTTGTGGCGTGTGGGATGCTGCCTCAGTGTGGCTTGATGAGCAGTGCCATGTCCACTGGGCTGCCTGCAGCAGAGCATATGAACTTAAGCACTCGGCCATGGGGCTGGCCCCCAGCTTTACTTTTTTGAAAAACTTCATACTTTTATCATATATGTTTCCATGGAATCAAATTTTAGTTAACAGATTAAAAAAGTTAAAGGATTTTAAAATATTATGTTGTCAATGGGAAATGGTGAAAAACTCTTCTAAATAAATCCTGTTATTAAATGAAAGCAAGTTCTGTTAAGTTCCAGCTTCTGGAACACTGAGACACCCAGAATCAAACAAAATTAGACTGAATTTAAATGTCATTTAAAAATCTAACTTGGTTTCAGTGCTGCTTATTGCATAAAGCCATTTTGATCAGACCAGATCATATAGTCTTTTAAATTACATTGTATACATTCCTAGTGGAAGAAAAGGGCCAGGGTCCCTAAGCCTAAACTGAAAAGAGTATGTGGAATAAGGATTAAAGAGAGTGTCTACTGATTTGACTGCCCCCCCACCGCCCCAACAGGCTACTCAAGAAAAATGGTGTCTTTTAGGGAAGGAGCAGGGCAAAAAAGTAACTGATAAACTAATATCTAAAAATAACCTTCAAATTTAAAACAAAAAATAAAGGGATAGCTTCCTGGTTTCAACCATGATGGAGTAATGCGAATTGGATTTACCCTTCACTGTAATCAACTATTAAACCAAAAAGAACCCAAAACATAAAGCAATGTTTTCACACAATGGATAGTAGCCCAGGACTGATTTTTGTTTTGTTTTGTTTTTTGCTGAGGAAGAGTCATCCTGAGCTAACATCTGTGCCAATCTTCCTCTAATTTGTATGTGAGTCACCACCACAGCATAGTTGCCCATGAGTGGGGTAGATCTGCACCAGAGAACTGAACCTGGGCTGCTGAAGTGGGGTGTGTGGAAGTTACTTAACCACTAGCCACAGGGCCAGCCCCTCCAGGACTGATTTTTAAGAAAAAAATTTAGAGGTGAGCTCTACAATCATTCCTTCTGCCTGAGGGCACTTTCCAAGTTAACACTGAAAGTGGGGTGTCTCTGGGTGGAAGAAAACATAGTTCAGGGTTCCTGCTGGAATTTCATGAACAGGGTACCAGAGAGAAGGGAGCTCCATAGAGCTAGGCAGATCCAGAAATTTGCATTATGATTCTCTTAAATCTGTCTCAATAATAAACTGAGAACAGGGTGACAAACCAAAAGGCCCGGCAGAGATCAGTAACTAAGCTGAGGTTGAACAGAGATTCTGGATGAATACAATTTTATAAATGGAGTTCTGTCCAGCCAGAGTAGCAAGACCTTGCTGAACACCCACACTCAATTGAGACCCCAAAAAGGCCAAGGCTTGGGAATACAGTTATGCTAAATCCATGTTAGCCTAAAACTAAACCTCAACATGATCAAATTGATTTGCCAGTAAATTAACCACCTGCAAGCACAAAACAACACTCTTTAAAGGAAGATGACAAAATCCAGACTGTCAGCAACATCACAGCATCCAAATATCCAACATGCAATAAAAAATTCCTAGGTGTTAAGATAGACAAAATGTTGACATAACCAGGAGAAAAAAAGTAATCAAAACAGATCCAGAGTTGACACACGTCAGAAATAGCAGGGAAGCACTTTCAAAGTTACTATATAAATATGTTCAAAAATATTAAAGGAAAAGGTTAACAGTGAGTGAATTGGTCGTGAATCTCAGAAGAAAAACAAACAAATGAACATTCTACACCTGAAAAATACATTCTGAAATGAAACATTGACTAGATTAACATAAAAATATAAGTCACCAAGGAGAAAAGATCAATGAACTTGACAGGTTAACAGAAACTATCCAAACTGAAACGGATACGTAAAAGGATTAAAAAAAGACGACATATAGGATAAATAACAAGTGGTCTAACACACATAGCTGGAATCCAGGCAAGGAAGAGAGAATGGGGCAAAAAACATGTACAGAGTAAATTAAAGTTGAAAAATTTCTAAATTTGATTTAAAAAATAAAAAGTAACCCATAGGTCCAACAAACTCAAACTGCAAACAGGATACATACAGAGAAAAACACAACCATGCACACCACAATCAAGCTGTTGAAGAACAAAGATGAGAAATTTTAAAAGTAGAAGAAAAAAGACTTAGGAAAGGGAACAGTAAGAACAATAAACAACTGATCAGAAAAAATGATCAAGATGACAGTGGAACAATGTTTTTATAAAGTGCTGAAGCAAAAAATCAAACAAATTCTATGTCTAGTGAAAATATCCTTTAAATTTAATGAAAGCTGAGAAGGTTTGATACCAGGAGACTTGTACTACAAAAACTGGTAAAGGAAGTTCTTCACATTGAAGGTACCTGATTCCTGATGAAACATGTATCTACATGAAAGAAAACAAAGAGTTCCAGAAATGGTAAATAAAAATTATTGTTCTAATTACTTAAAATCCATTTAGTGTTGAAAGGAAAATAATAGTGTTTAACCAGAGATAATTTAAAGTAAAAATTTAAAAACTAAGATTTAGGACATGTAAAGAAATAATTCTTGCATAAATAATGAGATAAGTGGAAGTACATATTATGCAGGAAGTGGTATGTTACATAAAGTAGACTGCAGTACGTAAAGAATGTATATCCTTATAGCAAGTATTAAAAAAATTTAAAAGGTGTAGCTATGAAGCCAATAGAGGCAATCAAATAGAATACTACAAAATATCTGATTAATCTAAAGGAAGGCAGAAAAGGAGGGAAAAAACAAAGAACAGACAAGACAAAGAGAAAAGCATGACTTCAACCCAACCACATCAATAATTATACAACATCTAAGAGGGTTAAGCACCACCAATTTAAATGTAAATACACTGGTTAAAAAATGAGCTTCAACACTGGTGTTTACAAGAGACTCATGAAAATATAAAGATATTGATAGGTTATAAGTAAAAGTATAGAAAAAGACAGCATGCAAACACTAAAGAGAAAGACTTCAAGACAAGAATTAAATCCAGAAGACACACCCATCTTAAATGAATATGCACCTAATTACTGAGTTTCAAGATATATCAAATGGAGTTCTGATCCAAGATGGTGACATGAGGCTCCTGAATTCACCTCCTCCAATGGATACACTGAATATACGACTACACATGGAACAATTCCCTCTGAGAGAAATCCAGAAACTAGCCAAGCAACTCCTACAGGTTGGGTAAATGAGAAAAAACCCACATTTAAAGGGGTAGGAGAGGCTGAGACACACTCTTGCCATGAACCGCACATCTGGCACAGTCACAAATAATCAGGAGTAATACCTGAGGAGTAAGAGGTTTGGACACATCACCTAGTGCCTCAACTTTTAAGACTTCTACCTGAGGGATGGGCCTCCAAAAGCCTAGTCCTGGAAGCCAATGGAGACTCATAAGACTATAGCAAACAACAGTTCTTAACTGGCTCGGACTTGTGTGGCTATCCCACAAGGGCTAAGCTCAGAGGCAGCAGACAAAAACTCCCAGTGTTTCCCTAAAGGGGGATTATTTGCATATCTTAAAAGCTATAGCCTGAGGGTCAGGTTCCTAAGGCAGCACACAGCTAGAAAGACTGCTATCCTTCTCAGAGACCAGCAGATGTCATCTTTGCATTCTCCCTCTGCCTTGCTTTAGCTTACTGGTGGTCTCTCCAAAAGCAGCTGGTGCACATATTTGCCACCCTAGCTTTTGTGGATGCCACCCAAGGACACACTCCTTGGTAGCCTGGCTGTAGTGGCTGGCAGGACTTAAGTTCACAGGTTCAACAAGACTGTAGCAAACAAACAGTTCTTAACCGGGTATAACCCTAGGGCTGAATACAGAGGTAGCAGACAGAAATGCCCTTCTCTCAATCTTTATCTAAAAGAGGCCTAATTGCACATCCTAAAAGCTGCAGCCTAGGAGTCTGGCTTCTAATTTATCTCACATGTAGAGAGAGGCTGCCATCCTCCGCAGA